CACGGTGGCCTTGATATTAAAAACTACCATTGAAATACGACAGTTGTTAGATGAAACACCTGAGAGTATTTTCAAAACTTCTTTGCCTTTCAGTGTTGCTGTTGGCTCCCGAGCTGTGAGGTGACGGGCAGGAGTGAACATTAAAGGAAGAATCGGCTCAGTTCCACTGAACTCCAGCCGCTCCCCGCTTCGCTTTCGGGACCTTTTGGGTTCCTCGTTTCGCTGTCCTGACTGGAGTGGGGCTGTAGGTGAGGTGTAAGCCAGGAGCTTGTGGTGGGCTCGATGGTGGTGATGTTGCTCTGGGGGCAGATCCGAAGCCTGGAACAAGCTGTGGGCAGCAGGGCTTTGGGCTCCCCACTGGCGGCAGCCGTGGAACTGCCTGAGGAGGGGCCTTTCTGTGCGCTGACCCGCACGCGGTGAGGGTTAAAAGCCAGTGACTTCAGTGAAATGTCACCCTTTGTGTGCTGGGCAGAGGCAGCGGGCTTTTGGCTTCTTAAATAATGCAGAGAAAACCCTGTGGCCACCAGCTTATTTACAAATAAGTAATGTAAATATGTGTTAAAATTTAATAACTTAGTTCTTCAGTGAACTTCCTTGCTTTGCCCTCTCTTTATTTCAGCCCAATTAAAAAAGAAAACAAAACCGCTAAAATAGCAAACTTAATGACTTTGTTAGTAACCATAAAATGTATAATTGGATTACCATATCTTTTCCTGGCTGCGTATTTCATAAAACCTATGAAATCATGATTCTGCAGAGACTGTGTGAGATGATAGGCTAATGGCTATGAGCCTAAGCCCACTCAGGAGAGGAGCACATCAGGACCCTCAGGAGAAAAAGGGGAGTGTGAGATTAGTTTACGTGGTAATGAATAATACTGAATTCAAAATTATTTGAAAATAATATTTTTAAAGCACTTTCATGTATTCACTTGAAGAATCTTTTTATACAGAACATTGAGTTAAACGAAAGTATTGTGAATGTTATTCATTACCAGTGCAGTTAGTATTGATGGTTATGATACAGGTCCCTGAATCAAACCATGTAAATTGCTTACATATTTATATTCAGTCTAGAAAAACCCAACTGATACCGTTTCCTGTAGATGTCTTTCCACTTTTTCTCCGCAGTTGCAATTGTGTTAAATTGAGCAAAGGGCTGTTTGAAGCTCAAGTACAGGTTACATGATCTGTCCTGCTTGCAGTGTCTGCTGAAAGCCCCAGCTGGTTTCAGTGGAACTTGGGTCACACAAGCTGAAGACAGAGCTTCCCCCAAATTTTATACGCTATCTAAATCTCTTAAATTTCAGCTCTTGCTTGAGGATACTTTGTCAGAGACTGTTGTTCACAGAACCACATGTAAAATTACTTTTTTGAAAGTCACTTGACATTTGGACAACAAATGCAAAAAACCTGCCAACCCAACCATAACATCAAATATCATAACATTTTACTAAAAATAGTCCTCTTTAAGACAATATTTCAGTATGATTGTTCATGCCTAATTAGTCTCATTCATTGCTAGTGATTTTGAAAATGCTTTCTTATATTAATACTTTAAACCTGGATATCCTTTTGTTATTTTGAATTCAGTGGTATAAACAGTAAAGCCAAAACACCAATAGACTATTACAATGCAATTTACATTAGCTGGATTTTTAAGAAAGCAATTGAAAAGTTAAAAGCATGTCAGGAGACCGATCAGATTAATGCACTCATTTTTGATGTACTGTAGTTATCACAGAAATATTAATTACTTAACTCTAATGAAAGGAAATAAGGTTTTACCTACCACTGTGTCTGAAATTATTAGGTTTCAGACACAGTTGGACAGTTCTGAAGTAAGTTTTTATCGTATAATACAATTTGAAATTTAAAATTTAGTTATGCTTTGCTATTGCCATCTAGTCCATCAGATGTAACACTGAATTTCTTGACTGGCTGTGGTCAGTTCGTGGTCTTCTGGCATTTTTTGCAAGTGTGCAGAGTTATAACCAAGAAAGAACTTGAAGTCAACATTTAAATCACTTAAATTTCGATGTGGGCACAGTGCCGCCCACAGAATGCTGCCTGTATTCCAAATGCAGAGTATTATGGGTGCTTCTCACTTTTAAGGTGAATGTTCCTTCAAAGTCAGTGTTAGCATCTGTAGGTGCAGATAGCATTTGTAGGAGAAGAAATGTCTCTGTAGATCCTCACTGTTCTGCAGTTTTCCATTTGGAAAGTGTTACATTTTTTCCTGTTTCAAATACATTTCTTCACTGAACATCTGCTGAGTGCCCTGAGAACTAAAAAAAGAGAGAAACATCTTCAACACATTTTCATTGTCATTTAAAACCAAATTAAATTTTTACTGTATTTATAAACGTTTTATTTTTGCTTTCCATGCACCTTTACTTACAGGATTCTTTGGGCAGACAACATATTTAAAGAAATAACTACAAATATTTGATACAAATACTTAATGTGAATTTATCACAATTGTTCACACGGCAGCCCTGCCTTACGGCTTTCAGTGAAGGAGTAGAAGTATATCACGCATCCTGATCATCCACATAACTCAGATTTAAGATAATTATTATTTTGAAAGCTTTGTTTGAAGTGAAAATTATTTGCAGATCTTTCAATGTGAGTAATTTTCATTAAAGAAAGTTTTTAAAAGAGAATTTCTGTATTTTGGTAAGAATTTACAAAGAGCAAAAATAGAGGAATACATTCAAGCCAGTATACAGAGTTCTTCATGTGTGTCAAATATAATCTTTGGGGTTTAGCATTACCAAGTACTAGCTCTTAAAATTTGTCTTATGGTTCTTTGGTAGTGCTTTGAATGCTAGGTTAATACTTTTTAGGTATGAGGTAATTTTAAAAGGATCTTTCTGTTGTGTATAAGTGCACACAAATAACAAATCTGCTGCTAGAGCAGTGCAGAGTTCAGTTACTTCTGCAGCTGTAGGTTGGTATTATACCCAGCTCTAAACCACCCACAGCACCCACCCAGTCATGCATTCATCTGCAGATTAACATCTGGCACACGCGCTTCATCGTCAGCCTTGGAAAGCTGGGTATGTAGGATAGTAATTTAATTTACTAGAGTTCATTTTAAATTTATTTCTGTATGCTTGTATTGGAAAAGGAAGAGCTGAAGATGTGTACTTGAAGCAGAAGGCAGTGATGGTGTATGGTGTATCTTGTGAGACTTAAAGTCCTTATTTCAGCTGATCTATGAGAAAGCAAGCTCCAGCCAAGTGAGGTTTTCCTTTTGAAGGATTCCTCATGATCTCCAGAAAGCTCCATGGTTGGAAATGGTGGCCAAAAATCAATGGTGGTTGTTGGCCGCGGTTTTGAATCATGGGGCTTTCTGGAAATCTTGGACCTGGTTCTTAGCTACCAGTTTGAACTATGGAGCTTTCTGGAGATCCTGGACCTTTAAAGACCCTGGAGATGAGGCATGGGTGAGAGGATGACACAGGTGATGACTGGATAGGTGCTTCAGTAGGTTCAGTTTCCTCCTTGAATTGGGACTCTATACTTACAAAATGTCTGATGCTGGCATCTCTACATTTCAATTCCAAGTGGTGGGAAATTCACAAGATCAGTTGTTTTTCTCAAATGTTGCCATCTTGGCCTGAACTCAAATGACAGCAGCTGTTCTCATGAGATTTCAGTTGCAGCCAACTGAAAAAACAGCCTTTTCCTTTTCAGCTCTGAGCAGCTAGTGACAGCAGCAGTGACTTCAGCTCGCGGTATTAGTAACCCATACATCCCCTCCTCACGCCACGTACACATGAAGAATAAAATGCAGGTGGACCTCAGTGTGGTACGTATTTGTTATTTGCACTGAATGGAGTTGTGTATTTTGTATGTGGAAAACATGGCTTAGTCCTCCAGTGTCCAGCATTTACATTCAGTGTGCAATGTATTCCCTAAGGATTTACGTGTAAAGAACTGTAAAAGGAGAAGCTTTTCCTCTAGGGAAGAGCTGACTGGGAAAGACTTCCATCTTCAGCCGCATGGGATGGCACTGAAATACCAGCTTCTCCTGCTTGATCTCTGCCAGCCTTCACTTGCCCTTCTTCCTCTCCAGCTTTCAGCAGCATATGGAGCATCAACAGACTCGTGGGCAGCTTGGCTTGACCTGAAAAAATCAGAAAGCAGAACTGATTTTAAAAATAGGGTGTGGAAGCTAAATGCAACTTGTGCCTCCGTCTCACGGGAACAGGCGGAGCGGCAGAGGCCAAAGAGGACTCAGGGTGTGTGGTGAGAGGGTTAGGAGCAAGTAAGCGGGGGAGAAAATACAGTTGTACTTCTCCTCCCCTCTCTTACGCGTGGGCATGTTCCCCCGGTGGGGCACAGGACCGGGTCCTCCACAGGCCCTGCCGGAGGGTGGGAAAGGTGCTCCCTTCCCCTGGGGTGCCCCCACACCGTCCCCGGGCGTTTCTAACCGGGGGCTGTCAGCTCCTAGCTGCCGGGCTGCTGTATCCTGGTAAAGGCGCCTCTTTCCTCACCTCCATCCAGGGTGGGCAGCCTGGTGACTGGAGGGACGTGACACTGCCCCAAGGCAGGAGGGGCCAGTTTGGAGACAGGCAGATTGGGTTCGCTTTGGGCGGGGTGGAAGGGGGAAACCACTGGGCACCTACAATACCCATGAATAATCACCTGCAGGAGAGTTGTTTGGTTTCCTCGGTCTTTCTCCTTCCTGAATCCATAGTGGAACTGCTGATGGTCAGCCTGGGAGCCGATTGTGGGTCAGGCTTCCTCTCACAGTGTTGGAGGGAAGGCCTAAAACTTTCTGTCTAAGAGATGATTTAAGCTAGGGATATGTAATTCCCAGACAGACTGTGAGGAGGTTCAAATCCTGATCAAGGGCTGTAGAAGCCGAGGGACGTGTCTGACACTTGATCCTGGATGTGAAGCGTCAAAGGGGGACTGTCTTTCAGGCTGGCTGTCTTACTGAAGCCTCGGCGTGCCAAGAGGAGTAGCTGATCACTGTTCCCCTATGGAATATCAACAGTCAGGCTCTCTGGTGTGTACACAACATTCCTCCAGCTGTTCAGACACCATAGAAGAAGTGAATCTGGCTGCAAATATTCCAGGTATGTTATATATACCAGGTCCAAATCCAAACCTGTGCTAGTACGTGCTCATTCAGAAACAATCGATGGGATTCAGCTTAACAAATACAAGTGTATGTCTGTATCTGAAATCTTCACGGGAGTTAGTGACCCTAAATTCTCCTTGATAATCTTGGAGAGGAATGGGTACTTGTGGGTGCCATTCTGTCTCATCCTAAGGTTCCTGGTTCTCTACACTGAGTACAAAAGAAGCCTAGAGTGATTAGCTCAGACAGAGATACCATTGTTTTTCTGTAGGTGTGTGAAGATCGGCAAGGTGAATCCCGCTCCTTGTGTCAGTGGTGGAACGTGGAGCTGCTCGGCAGCAGTTGTGTGTCACAGCAAAGTCCCCTCAGGATCAGGAAGCGGCTGTTCCCCATGCCTAACCTGTGCAGTAGAGAGCTATAGCACAGGAGGAGATCTTGCTCCAAAATCTGTGTTAGTGAACAATTAAAGAAAATATAAAAATAACCCTTAGGGGAACACTTGCATATGCAGTCAGGACTGTGGGTACAGGGACTGTTGGGGCTGGATGTGACGTTGCAGTGATGCAGTGCCTCCTACTAACAGGTCTGTGACTGGGGGTTTCAGAAGGCTCTCCAGTATCTTACTGGGTATCTTTCAGAAGAGTCTCCAGTATCTTACTTCTCACTATGGCTGTAGTTCCCAGTAAGTGTGGTGTGGACAAAGCATTGATTTCCTGCAAAGCTCTTTGTGAGGCTGAATGATGAAGTGCTATGTAAGAGCCCAAGTGTTTTATCGGGTAACGGGTGTATTATGGAGCTCCAAAAAGTACTGTAGAGCTGCCATTTACTTTTAATTAATAGTTCTTAATATAAGAGAGCAGTAAAAAAAATTTAAGAATAGATGCATCAACTTACTCAAATCCAAGTTAAAAGTGTGTAGGTAGTGTATGGCTAACATAACTTTAATTGTGCCTCTAGGAGATGAGATGACTTGAAGTAGTAAGAAATAATCCATGCTTTCGCAATGCAGAAGTCGGAAAGCAAGCATAATCACAAACAGAAAATAGACATGCTCAACTTTCATAGGAAAAGGTGATTTTATAAAAGTAACTTATATCTTGATCCAGATAAAAATAAATGCAACATAGTGACAACGATAGACAAGTGCTTTCTGAAGAAGGTAATTTTCAATTGGTTGTAAAATAATAAAACCCCTGCATTTCTTTGGAACTGAATTTGTGTTCCTGCTGAGGTTCTTGCCTGGCAGACACCAAGAAACCTTCCTTGATTTTAAGTGATTATGGGAAGATTTCTTCTATTTGCCATCTATGAATTCTGTTTAAAACATTAAACTCAGGTTTTTAATTTAAATGCTTGCTCTTCTACATTTTCTGTTTTCCCATATTTTGTTTTTAATCTCCAGAAGAACATCATGCATTCTCTATTGGTGTCACAGATGAGTTCTCCATGTCTAAGCCACACTGAAATAATGTTTTACCTGCTCCTTTGCTGTGACCACGGTGTTACAGGCTGTAAGCATGACTTGTCTGAGGTGTTTTCAGGGCACCAGGCTGCGTTGGATTGCCAGGGAGACAGAGGAAGGGATGTCCACTGTGAGAATCCTGCTGGAGCTTGGGAGCAGAGGAGCACTGGCGGAACCTGTGTGATTGCAGTCATTCCCAGAGTTAACTGATCTAAAGCAGCACTGGTGTTTCTGCATTGAGAGAGACGAGGAGCATTTGTGTTATCCACGGTGATGTCTAGAGGCAGAAATGAAGACAGTGAGTAGATGCTGAAGTAAACTGCTGTGATGGGGTCTGCAAAAAGGGACATCGTGTCTGCAGTCCTAGTCAAGGCGAGTGAATTACCTGAGGCAGCCTTGAGCAGAAGCCCTGTCAGGAGCAGAACGTGTCTCTTTACTGTGTCCAGGTGACATGGGTTGTTATAAAAAATGGCAGGGACACCATGCCAGTTCCCCATAGCTGCCTTGACTTTTGAAACATTCAATTGTAAATGGTTTTCAACAAATCAGATGGAACATGCAGCAAAAAAATAGTTAAATAGTTCAATAAGTTTTGTTAGCCTATGCTTTTCTCAAAATGGCTTTATTTTTATTGTCAGATTGATTTTAGTTCTCTTTAACAACATCGAAAAGAAACTTTAAGGTTTTTTTTAAATTCATAAAACACTTTTTTACCATTCCAATATTAAATATAATTTACGTGCACTATAATTAATCAAATGATTTGTGCCTAATTTAATATTTTGGATTTTCATTACATTTTTGAAAATATATGCTAACTTGGCTGCCTAGCCACACAGCTACAGCAATTTAACCTGCGTCAGGATGATACTGGTGTGAGCCAACACACACAATATTTGTTGCACAAATTTACTTTAAATTTTCCATTTATATGTAGAAAAATGAAATCCAATACATGCAGCTAGAGTAGTTTAAAACATGACTTCTCACTAGCTGTTCACTGCCAGCAGAAGGTCGTGGTCAGTCACTGAGCTGCCTTCGTAGGTTGTGGTTGCACTCATCGGCTTCAGTCAACTGGGTTGGCTGGGGCCTGGGTTAACTGGTGCTTTGGCTGTTGGTGTGTGCAGTTGCACAGTCCCTCACACAGAGCAGCTGTAGGAACATGCTTGAGAACCGTTCTAGCTGTTTCCAAACTCTTTCCAACTTCACAGGGCTCTGGCACAGCGGTGTGTGCAGACCAGGGCTTTTAAAGTTTGAGGGAACGGCAAGCCGTCTCAACAACGGTGAGGAATTTTTTAGAACCACTTTTGTCCAAGTTGTACTTTGGGAAGAGAGGCATTTCCTTTCAAAAACAAGGCCTCGTATTAATGAATTTATAAGAATAAAACTTTTAAAGTGTATTTGACAGTATTTAGCAGCTGCAGAATCCTGTAATTTGTTCTGTGATTTCATGCTGTCAAATTTGACAACAGGAACTAATGCCAATCTTTGCTTTGGAAGACAATTTCCTTTTTATAAAAATTCTAATTATTAAAGCTAAATTTGGATTTCATTAAAAGGAAGTTGTTAGTCTTTTTTATTTGTCAAATAGCTTTCAAAAACTAAGTTGGTTCTACCTTTGACAATTTGTCACAATGATATTCACTGAAAACCATAAATTATATGTTGTTTCCGCCTTTCTACCGATGGATGAAGTTGGTGTCTGCGGCGAGGAAGACATGGGTATTTTTGATAGACTTAAAAACCTATTTGTCAATCGTGTGGAAGCCTGGATTTATTACCCATTTTCACACCGGCTTATTTGGGCACGCTTCAACCTTGCTTAGCTGTTGAGCACCCCCCATGTGTGGAGGAGAGGGTGTTCAACAGGACTCACCACTGGGGAGTTAACTTGGATGTTGCCATAATCTGGGTCTGAACAATACACATTGTCTTTCCAATGATAGTGCTTTTAACTCCCTCTTGTTGCATTTTCAGGAATTGTAGGCAGAAGTTTGAATTAATGCAGGTCAGCAGCTACTGCCATAATCAATGCTCTGGGTGCGGGCTAGCTCAGCTCAGGTGCTGCTGGCCTTCTGAATTGCTTTCTGCCTTCTGCAGGTTCGGTCGCTGCCCAGAAAGCACAGACCAGTTATCCCTCCATATACCAGAGGATAATGGACGGGACAGTTTATGGTTTGGATGCAACATGCACTTTTATCGAACGCAGTAGGCAAGCGCGTTCTCCTGAGCTGCTCCCCTGGCAAACACCAAGCTCCTGGATGCAGAGCTGCTGGAAGTGTGCAATTAGCTGGTGATGAGGGGTTTGACCCTTTTTCCCTCCTTTGCCCACAGGAGCCGAGTGTAGAGGCTGTGACAAGTTGTACAGCAAGTACATTGCCAAATAAGGAGGAAACTTTGATGTGGTATTCTGGGGTTTCCTGGCTATGTTTTGATAAATACAAGTAATTGAGACGTGACCACTGAAGAAGTACTAGTGAAGCATGAATTTTCTGCACCATCTGAAGGCGCAGCCATGTTTGGCTTCTGGAACAGTTTTCCTGAATGAACACAGTTTGGAACTTACTGTGCTGTCCTGCTGTAGTGCTAGCCTGATTCTGTAAGCAAAACTGAAGTGTGTACATTAAAAATAAAAATAAAAATCTTAGTACAGTGCAGACTATTGTGGAAGGCATACCTGGAAGGCGCCATGGTGCACACACGCTCACGGAATAGTTAAGATTGGAAGAAATCTCTGGACTTGTGTAGTCCCACTCCTGTGCTCAAGCAGGATCCGTTAAAGCAGGTTGCTCAGGGCCACGTTCAGTCAGGTTTTGGGTATGTCCAAGGGTGGAGACTCCACAACCCCTGTGGGAAACCTGTGTTTGTTCAGCCCCACAATAAAAGAAAGCTTTTTCTTATGTTTAAAAGGAATTTTCTGTATTTCAGTTTGTGACAATTGGCTCTTGTCCATTCGCTGGATACCACAGATAAGAGGCTGAATAATTAATGAGCTTCTCCCTGAGCCTTCTCCAGGGTGACTAGTCCCAGCTCTCAGACAGACACTCCAGACCCTCAGTGGTCCTTGTGGTCCTTTGCTGAACCCGCTGCTGTATGTCCATGTCTCTCTTGTACTGGGCAGCCCAGAACTGGGCCCGGTGCGTCTCGCAATGCTGAGGAGAGGGGAGGGACCACCTCCCTCAACCTGCTAGCAGTGCCTCCCCCTCCTTCAGGTCAGGATGCTGCTGGCATTCTTGTTGAAGCTTACATGGTTTAGCATTGTGTGGCAGGTTTCACTACAGAGAAATTAAATTGTAGGAGAATTCCACTAGCCTGAATTAAATTTTGAAGTGGCAAAATATGGCCTCTGTGAAGTGAGCAATGTGTGCTCGTAAACTAGGGAGACTGGTGTCCTGGGAATGAGACAAATCCTGCAGAGGCTGTGAATGTCAGGGAGAGCCACCACTGGCGCTACCAGAGTAGGGTCTATTCCTTGGGAAGTCTCTTGGCCTGGGAATAAGCCTTGGGGTGGCGCTGGCTGGGGCATCTGAAAG